TCGGCCACTACTGTCCTGTGCAAACTGAACTGAACTGAACTGAACTGAAGGTCAAGCAGCGGAGGTGCAGTTAAGATCTTTGCCTAGACTCGCCATGCCTGGTCCGAGCATGATAATCGCCTCCCCCACTGGTCTGCTAAAAGGTACATTGTGTGCCATTATTACCTTTTTAATAATGCAGGATTTGATTTACCGACCAAAGTTCCCCGTAGTTTATGTAATCTTGGTGCAAAGGACATATCAACCCTGAGCTGGGATATCCCAACATGTGATTCCCGAAGTGTATGTTAGTTGTTATGCTAATACTGCTAGATTTTGATTGGGACGAAAGAGGGCAATGTTATCCGTCAGAAGTTGAACGTTACTTCTGATTCTACCATTCGAAACTGGCCCGATGGCTCAGTCGTTTCTTTGCTCCCGATCGATAGGTCTGTTTGCACTTGAAGTTCTGTATAATTCGGCAGTAATGTTTTGTCTGTTTTCTCTGGCGGGGTAGTTAAGTGCCTAGATGGCACGAACTTGGAGCAAAAGGTGAGTACTCATCAAATGTTTACGTGGAGCTGACCACTAGTGGGAACTAAAAGCCCCAGGAAATCCTTCTTGTGCACGATCCTTTGAGTCTTTGATCGCTGTAGGTGGTCGGGATTGCAACTTAAACGTCTGGGATTTGGAAAACACAGCAAACCCGTTATTTACTGCAAAGAACGTCAGACCTACCACATTACTCCTCGAAGTCCCTGTTTGGATTTCGGATATTTGCTTTGTTCCTCAGCATCATGGTCGAATAATTCTCACAGCATCCAGAATAGGAGAGGTAAGACACTATCGCCGAACGTTTTCCGTGTTGCGCATTCAACTTTGTCGTGAATTTTGCTTTCAAGATTTCAGGGGAACTTTAGTCCTGGGTGGTGGTGGCCCGTTGGCAACGTCACCTGAGTATCACCCCGGGAATGTGTTCGAATCCCACCACTACCGCATGAATTTCCTTATTGCGTTTCAAATGGCAGCCCTTTTATTGGCCACTTCCCCCCTTCCTGAAAGTTGTATCATTGTTTTTTCTATTATTACACAAGGTGAATTACAGTAAACGGGGAGATCCCCATAAGCAAATAATATACTGTAAAGGGGAGAGTAAGGGAAACATTCGCGTAAGATCCAATTTATTGATTCTGCTTTTAAAAGTCATTGTTTATTCAATATAAGGAAGTAAGATGAAAAAAAGGAGTTCTGTTGCTCACTTATTATGTTTTTCAATACATCATGCTAGTTGCTTTACCCATATTTGGTAGGTGTAGATTGAAGTAAAACTTTAAACCCTGTTGAACTTCATGTCGAGTAATATGGTTGTCGCAAACTGTTCATTTCGAATATTCCCTTTAAAGGAAGTTTAAATGAGACAGATTTGTTGATCACAGAGGCCATTCGTTTGACCCTCAGTTGATCCATCTGCCGGTACATTCCGAAACGAGAGTATTTGTCACGATAATAGCACTATGTGCTGATGAATCCTCGTGAAAGAACCAAGCTAGAATGCCAATTTCCGTTCCTATTCGCCGCATGGCATGCACCACATTATCGTTTATCATTCGAAAGCATAGGGTCTCTTGAGTAGTAAAATAAGTCATTGTTCCCACCAGTCACGTTTTCATTAAAGACGTAAAGCCCGACTATCTTGTCACGAAGAATAACAAATTATACTAATACCTTGGAGCTGTGAAGCAATTTCTAACTGACAAAGTCTTACGTTCTCAGCGGCCCAGCAAAACGAAAAGATCAACGCTGCTCAAACCCAGATGTTTGTGATGCCCCCGGAGCCGAGCTATATGACTTACTTACTTACTTTACTTTACGGCGGCTGGCTCCTGGGAGAGGATAAGCCGGCTTCATGGATATCTCGAATTGCCGCTGCCCACGCTCGGCGATCTGCGGCAAAATCGGCGCATATTGCGATCCAGTTTGACTTCCACTGGCGAACGCCATAGACGGAGCGGAGACTAAAGTTGTCAGTATCCTTTCGTACCGTGTCAAGCCAGGTTTTAAACTGTCCACCGTGCCGACAGCACCAGTTCGGGCAGGGAGGCGGGGCCAAGACAGCTTTTTTTCAGGTCATTATCGGACTTATGAAGAATGTGGCCAAACCATTGTTGTTGTCGCTGTTGTATTAAAGTCTTCAGACGTACAAGATTAAAACACCGATTTCTGATCGCTTCGTTTGAGAGTTGATCCCTCCATCGTACTCCCAGAATGATTCTTAAGCACCAGTGATCGAAGACTTCTAATCGGTGATAGTCTTCTACTCTGAGTGGCCAGGTTTCGCAGCCGTATAGCAAGACAGGACGGACTGCTGCGGAGAAAACTCGGATCTTTGTTTTGAGGCTGATTTCGTTTCTGCGCCAAAGGGGGTTCTTTAACTGCCAAAACGCTCTTGCAGTGTCGACGTGCATTTGCACCTCGTCTTTAGCTTGGCCGTTGGGGAGAATGGTTGAGCCCAAGTATTTGAAACCTTCGACGGATTCGATTCGCTCGCCGTTTAGTATTACAACATTCTCTGGATGAATCGGGACTGTCGTTAAGGTTTTGGTTTTTGATGTGTTCACCTCTAGGCCGATCTTGGAGGCCTGTCAATTGATGCGGTAAACGGTTACTTGGAGGTTAGACATGTCCTCGCCAAGCACGACAATATCATCCGCAAATTCTAAATCGGTGAGCCATAAGTTCGGAGAGATCTAGACTCCCTGGTATCCTTCCATCGAGCGACACATAATCCAGTCCACGGCAAAGTTGAACAGCACTGGAGACAACGGGCACCCCTGTCCCAATCCAGATCCTAACTCGAACGGGCAAGATTCCTCTCCGTAGACACGGATTCGGGCGCAAGTGTTAGAATAGTAGGATCTCATAAAGTTGACAAGTTTGACTGGGGCACCATCGGCCAGAACTATGTTCCAGAGGGATTCGCGATCTACGGAGTCGAATGCCGCAC